CCACCACCACCACCACCACCACCACCACCACAGCAACAGCCGAGCACAGTCATAAGGATCGCTGTACTCGGACTGTAAGGATGGAACTGAGTCGATGTCACTGGAGGGCGATGATTTTCTACGGCTACAAATGTGGTTTAACGCAGCAACAGCAGCAGAGTTTCTTTTATTTTTGGGATTGAATGCAGAGAAGGGGGCCTTCACGTCACTGAATTCGGTTCCATGCCAAAATCCTACAGTGTCTCCAGTCAAAAACAATTTGAATCTTTGGGTCCCCGTGCCGGGAAGCCCCAACGAAAGCCAAATCTGAACGGTATCTCTACACCACGTCATACGCTGCCCACTTGGTTGTTTCTTCAAGCCCGAACTAATGTCTACGAATAGCGCACGGTATGATGGACGTTGTTCAGGCGTTCGTAAGACGTACCCTAGCCACTTCAACCGATGCGGTGAAATGATTTTACTCAGTGGAAGATTATCTGACCCTAACACGGTCTCTCATGGCTAGCAACATTCTGTTGTTGTTTCCTTTCGTTTTCAGATATATGATGATTTACTTACTTTTCTGAACTTTGTGCTTGATTACAGACCAGTGCCTCAATGTTATTAGCCCACCGAAAGACGAAAGATTTATCCGCCAAAGACAGCAACCAGAACAGGCACATGAAAGTGCATGGCTAATAGTTGCAGGAACTGAACTGAACGGATCGGAACGGAACCCACCGAAATACATTCACGTGGTGTCGTATACACGTCATGGTAGTTTGGCAAAATAGTCGCATGATTTTCAGAGTTTACGACTTAACTATATTATGTCGGAGATGCTGGTTCGATCCTCAAAAAGCGAACACTGTTTACCCAAATGACATTGTTCATGCTGCCACGTTTGAGGCTATTGCTGATAGTGTGTTCTGTTCACTTCATAGGATTTTAAAAAAGGTAAAACACATCCTTGCTCGAGCAATGTAGACACTGATCCGGGGTCCACATTGTCCAGTGGTGTAAATAACAGCAATTCCTCCACTGGCCCGAGAACTGTTTACGGGATCAATCCTCTGGACCGACCGGCCTATCGAAGCGCATCTCCTTTGGCTTTATGTGCCCCAGACAGCCAGTTCGCATTACCGGCACCGGATTCCGCGGCCAATGGTCATCAACCCAAGCTGGATCGATCTCAGGTGAGTACTCCTCTCTGAACTGAGCCTGCTCCGCTATTCATGGCGTTGTTTTTGGATCCGTTATCCACTCTTTAGATCTCGCTGAAACTTGCGACTGTTCGTTGCGACCGGTTGAAACAGTTTGATAAACTAACCTTGTTCTTATTTTATTTGTGGGCATGCTTGAGTATCGCTGCTTTCCGTTGCAGTCAGTGTTGCTTTTTTTCTCCTATCGGTTAATGCTTCCCGTTTAGTCTCAAAATGTATCCTAGCTGTTTATTCATCAAAAGGGTCGTTCGCCCATCTGTTTAGATGAGGAACCTTCGCCTTTTTATGCATTTAACTGGCTGCCGTTTCCTTATCACTAGATTGGTCATCAGTTTGTTTGTGGTTGTTGTTGTTGCTGTTGGTTGTATGATCCCCAAAATTTCTGAACGGTGATTAGTGGAGTGCATGAGGAACGATGCGCATCCATCGATCGGGCATGTTCTTCTTCGTGTTGGAGTTGTGAATTTTCCGTTTTCTGCGTGAACGAAATAGTAGTTTCAACTGCGATGTAGAGATGATTGGTTAAGCAGTGAATTTAGTCTTACATAGAGCACACAATAAACGTAGAATAAACGGCAAGAAAGTACTGCACAGCTCTATCAACCTGATCAAATCTCGCCTAATAATGCGAATCCATCAAGGTCAGATGGAGGATTGTGAACTGAAGACCTCACGGATCAAACGCAACAAAACTACCCAATCGGGTTGCGCAACTAACCTGGTTTCATTTTGTCTACATAGAATATGGCATATCCAATTTTTGCGATCTTTTTTGCAGGCATCACATTTTCGGGCATCGCCGCTCTAGCCTCCCGGGGTTATGACTCGTTTGCTCACCATTCCGAACCGGATTACCTGTTACATGAGAAGATTTGATTTGTTTGTATGACGGGTCGATGAACTCGCACAGTTCGATGAGACCCAACCTGGTCGAAATAGCTGTCCAGTGCTTCGCAGCTTTTTAGTTCACGCACTTCACTCACTCTGCACACGACTAAATTCACCATTGAATCAAATGGACTCCTCCTCTACTCATATATATA